CCTTGCCGCCGGTCGACTTGCGCGCCGTCTGCTTCGTGCGAGCCATGGCGAAGAAGAGGTAACAACTTAGAGCTACAAAAGTGAGAAGCCGCGGTCCCGGTATTTATAGCGACCCCCGGCGTCCTGATTGGACAGGAGCCTCCTGCCCCTCCCCGCGCACAGATTGGTTCTTGGTTCCAGCCTCTAAGGACAGGAAGCATTTTCCCGCCTCCCGCTTAGGTCTCTAGGATAATGGACAAAGAAAATGTCTGACTTTTAAAAAAGCCTCTAGGATGCATCAAAATTCCTTAAAATGTTGTCATGAGAATCGGAAAGTGCCTTCCTTCCACTCTTTTAAATAAAAGGTCTTGTGACTGGATTGATATATTGTTTACTGAAAATTAAAGGGAACAGTGGAAAACATGGGAGGCCTTGACCTTATTTGAAATTCTAGCCACAATGTTCTCTGGCAGGACTTTCAAAGAAAAAAAAGCTTCAGAATCACTGTTTCTTCCAGCAAAGATTGGCCAGCTGTACTTATAGAGAACACATGGTACATTAGCTCGGCTTTCAGCACGACTGTCTTGAACAGTGTGGACACGGGGGTGGGGGGCATGTCGACTCGTCACCGTAGGATTTGGCACTTTCTGGATATGGTGGCACAGGGACGCCATTACAATCTGAGACACATTCCGCTTTCCCATCTTAAACGAATTCCTGTAGACCACGTACTTATGGAACTCAGGGTCAGGAGCTCTGAGAAGGAGATTTCTAAAGTCTACAGCGCTTTAGCAGATTTCGTGGGCGGCCCTGAAAAGGGCCTTTTAGATTAGATACTAGCAGTGAGATCGGTTTTAGCCCCCGAAGCCGTAGAGGGTGCGGCCCTGGCGCTTGAGCGCGTAGACCACGTCCATGGCCGTGACCGTCTTGCGCTTGGCGTGCTCCGTGTAGGTGACGGCGTCGCGGATCACGTTCTCCAGGAACACCTTGAGCACCCCGCGGGTCTCCTCGTAGATGAGGCCGGAGATGCGCTTGACGCCGCCGCGCCGGGCCAGCCTCCGGATGGCGGGCTTGGTGATGCCCTGGATGTTGTCGCGCAGTACTTTGCGGTGGCGCTTGGCGCCCCCCTTGCCCAAGCCCTTCCCGCCCTTGCCGCGACCAGACATCACTGCAAAACAGGCAGACACAATCGACCTACGGCTCGCGGTGGCGGCTTATATAGTCGCTTGTCGGACCTGTTTGGGAACAGCGCAGGCTAGCTGTATCCGCTCAGGGAAGTCCCGAGCCAGAGGCCGGCCCACGCTTTCAGGACCGATGCGAAAGGCGGTGATTAAACTCCTAGGCTGAAACCCGACGCTTCCTGGAAAGTTCCCGCCCCGGTCGGGCCTGACCCCGGCCGGAGGGTTGTCGTGTTTCGGGGCCGAGCCTTGATGGTTTTCTGTCTCTGAGCTTTGCTCGCAGCAGTGACTTGCAGCTGCCGGCATCGAGCAGCCCCCCTCCAACGCAGCGAGTGCAGTGCCCTGAGCATTTACGCAGCCGTGTCACGTGCAGCGACCTCAGCACCCCGGTGACTGCTGCTGCATTTCACTCACTCGGTCGTCTTTCCTTTTCCTCCATCCCAGCCACGTATTTTGGGGAGAACTGACCACTCTTTATCTGGGTTAGAAACACTTCAGGTTTCTGAAGGTGTTTGAGGAGGAGGGTCCTTGGAGAACCGAGGAGCTGGAGACCACGCCTTTCAGAGCTGCCTTCGCCGCGTACCCCCAATCCTTTGTTGAACTGGGAAATCGGCTGCACCCAGATACCCTCTGCCTTTAGTTTACAGATAAGATGCAGGATGAAGAGACAAGAATGACTTTATCACAGGAAAACAACAACAACTTGGAAAGAAGAATTCCTTGGTTGGTTTCCATGGCTGGGGCTGTTTGGAATGACCTCCCTCAGGCGCTGGCCCGCCCTCCAGCTACTGTCAGATTTACACTGTTTCAAAGGTGTGTGATTATTCACCCCTTGAACAAATACCTACTTTTATTCCAGGAATCAGCTACCAAAATATATTATTATAAATTCGGTAATTGCTGTAAGCGGAAAACATTACATGCTCCCTATGAGTCAATCCATTTCTTACTGAGCTTCTAGTCCGGCCTGTTTTTTTATCCTTGCTTAAAAAGGGAATCTGAGTGCTTCATGTTGAAGATCTCAGACCTGTCTCTGTTGGCGGGATAATTGCCGTCTTTCTCTTGCAAGTACCGAGAACCAGGCAGCTTTCTGCTTCCTTATGTAGCAGCTGTTCTTGAAAATCGTACTTTAAGACCAACCTTTCCAAGACAAAGTCTTGAAACACTGAGAAAAGTTATGAATGTTCCTTTACCGGGTGAAGGTAAGATACTCTGAAAGATCGGGAATTTGATTTCATTGCATTTGCCTGTGCTGTGCCCTGAAAATACACGCACATGTATGTTTCCAAAGGTGTCATGCTGTGTTAGATTAGATACGTTCCTCATTCTCTTCTCCCACTTGCATGCAGGGAACAAACAGACTGCCTGCAGACTTTTTAAGCTTAAAAAAGCTTAGGATTCTCATTTCATTTAAATTAAACTAATTAATAAAACTATTAAAATTCTTTTTTGGGGGGAGGGGTCTTTCTCAGCATAGGATAATGCTGATTGACATGAACTGTCCAATAATTTCTTGGTGAATAATTGGGGAAAATAGAGGTTTTTTTTTTTCCCCTTCTCACATTATGAAGAGATATTTTCCAAATGTTGACTGTTTCAAATCCCATGAGATTCCCTTCCCCCTTAATTAGATGAATAAATGAGATGTACTTGCCTTTCCAATGTTCTGAAAGTTACTTACTGACCCACACTTATGTAGTTGACAATTTTTAATGTTCTTAGTTCCAAATGTTGGGCTTAATCCTTTTCAATATTGTATTTTCAACTTAATTTGCCACATACTCATTTCCTTGACATCTGATTTTGTTTTGTTTTGGTTAAGGCTTTGGAATTGGCTGGTAGGTTGACATATCTTTTACTTTCTCATTGTTGTTCTTCATTCAAAATTAGTTTACTTACAAGTGATTAGTCTCTCTCCTGAGTGTCATTTCTCCTGTCCCCCAAATGCATCCACATTCACATAAAACATGCACATCTAGACACTAATTCAAAACACCACTAGCTTTTTGGAGTTTTTTCCTTTCCATGAACTTACACTCTCAAATCTTTACTTCTATTTTGTAGTGTTTTACCCTTCCACATATATTTAGCCTTTTATCAGCTCAGAATCTTAAATATGAGATCTGGAAGCAGGGGGTTTCCCTTCCCTGCCCCAGCCTATGAGCAATTATCATCTCTGCCCTCATCCATAAAGCTTCTTTCAGCTCCTCATACCTCCGTGTGCTATTAAGACCAACCGAAGAAATCTGAGGATATTGCACTGTCCTCCCTGGCCTCTTCATCTTCCCCTACCCTCTTTCTGAGGGTCATTAAGCCATAGTCTTATCTGCTTATGGCTTGAAAAATGATTCACAAAACTCTTATCAGAGAAAACACTTTCTTCTGAAATTCTCAACTCAAATGTATTCTCCAGTACACAATGCATTTCATGCCTGGCAGTCATTCCTTTTTTTATCTAATACCCTCCCTTGTTTCTGCAATTTCCTACTCTCATGTCATCGGTGATGATCTACATTGTTTTCTAAACTGGCCTTAATTTAGCTAGTATTCATGCCTAGTTAATGTATCAAACAATGTTGCCAGAAACTTGCATTCATCTCACCTTACTAGTATCTCCAGGCTTGGTTATTAAGAACAAGAAAATCAAGGTGAAGGTGAGGGCACCTTGTTTAGGGGTCCCCGGGCTCTTCTGGCTTCAAAACAAGGGGTAGAGACTAAGAACACAGTTCCTAAGCTCCTTCTCTTTGAAAGTGAACGTGTTGCATGTGTCCTTTTAAAATTTGTATTTTAAAACCTAACCCCTGATGGGAGGGTAATTGGAGGTGGGAATATTCAGAGGTGCTTGGGTCATAAGTGTGGAGCCCTCCTGATGGTACGGATGCCTCTGTTACAGAGACCCCAGCGATCCATTGTGTGAGGACACGGTAAGATGACCACCTGTGAACCAGGACGTGAGTTCTCACTAGACACTGAATTTGACAAAGCCATGATCTTGGACTTCCAGCCTCTAAAACGATGAAAAATAAATTTCTGTTGTTTATAAGCCACGCTGTCTGTGGTATTCTGTTACAGCAGCCCGAGCAGACCAAGACTCTGGTGTCTGTAAATCATGTTTATAAAGTACTCAGACGTGGTGCCGTTGGTTTCGGTCGTTATTCCGAGTTAGTTGTAAGTAAAGCTAGAAAATTCCGTTGGAGATCCTGGCAAAGTGTCCAAGTATCAACTGAATGATAGAAGCAATGTTGAGCCTTTGGTTCAGCTCTCATTTTTGCCATTTACTTGTTTCTTGATCCCAGAAGAAAGAGCTTTCCTTAGAATGCATCTACTGTGTTTTACTTATTCATGCCCTTAATTTATCCCTACCTCTTTGCTTTCACAAATAGCATTTTGATGAATATTCTCAATATGTCCTCTTAGTCTATAGATCTATAGGTCTATTGGTCTGTAGGAGAATTTCCTTAGGGCATAGACCTGGGCACACCAAATTTTAATAATTAGACAGTTCTTCAAAATGTCTTGGGTAAGATCACCATCAGTCAACAAACCACCACATGAAAATGAGTTTCTCCACCTCCCGTGTAACACGTGATTACATCCAGCTTTCTGATTTTACCAATCTGATGTGTGTTCCCTGGTATTGCATTATTTTAATTTGCAGGTATCTGATTACCAAGTGAAGATTAAAAATTCTTTATGTAATTGCCAGCCATCCAACTCTATTTATTTATGTATTTAAAGATTTCACTTATTTATTTGACAGAGAGAGAATGAGCACAAGCAGGGTGAGAAGCATGCTCTCCTCTGAGCAGGGAGCCCAATGTGGGACTCGATCCCAGGACCCTGGAATCATGACCTGAGCCGAAGGCAGATGCTTAACTGACTGAGACACCCAGGTGTCCCTTAAGCTTCATTTCTAATAAATTTTTGGTGACTTTTCTTATTCTCTTGTTTGATATCCTCTCAGGGCTTCTATCCTTTAAAGGGTCTAGGGGGTGGGCCATTCTAGAGGCATCTGTTCTCATCTAATTTTTCAACATCTTCCCTACCCCCTAAACAGAAATAATTCCTGTGTCCCAAGTACTGTCCAGAACTGGAAGACAAGTTTTGAAACTTCACCTTGTGAGACAGAGACTAAGAGAAATCTTCCAAGAAATGAGATTGGCCATTAGCAGAAATGCCATGACTTGCTAATGTGTGACTGATCAGATTGGACTGTTTCGCAAATCTCAATCCATGACAAGGGGGACTTACTCCCGAATCTCATCTCATCAGAGCATTTGGGTGTATTTTCTCAATGTTACAAGAGAGATACTGAACTGAGATTCTGAGATGAAATTAAGTTTGCTGAGTATTTATTGTGCACCTAATACATTCTCTGGGGTCCTCTCCTACACATTCATCTATTACTACATTTAATCTTTAATGCAATCTCTTGAGGAAATAAAG